AATGTCAAAATCTTGAAAGTTATGTAATTAATTATTACAACTATTACTTCTTATTATTTCTCAAGCAAGTTTGTTTTATTATAATAGTAAAACAGAAAAAAAAGAAATGGATAATATAAATAATTTTATTGTAAAACACTCACCGTAGGGGATGCAGCCAGTTGTCGTTACATCCCTCCAATGGGTGCCATGGAAAACCTCCTCGACGCCTATGGGAAAGGAAGCCGAAGGCCGCTGGAAAAAAAAACAAATTTTATTGTTACTAAGAAAACATACAAATTTTTAAAATTCATTTCAACCATCGAAAGATTAATTTTTGGGAAAAATAAAATCGTTTCAAATAATAAAAATGAAAGACACTTAGAAAAAGGAGGAGCGTGTCAGAAAATATGTATGAGAGGGTGGAAGGAAGAACAAAGGGTTTAAATCAAAGAGTTAGAGCAAGTATGAGAGGGTACAGACATGAATAAGTAGTGTTTGATTGTGTAACATGCTTGAGAAGGATGAAGGAGTGTAAAAACTAGAAAATATGTATGAGAGGGTGTAAGGAAGAATGAAGGGTTAAAATCAGAAAGTTAGAGCAAGTATGAAAGAGTGGAGGTATGAATGAGTGGTGTATGATTGTGTAGCATGCATGAGAAGGATGAAGGAGTGTAAAAACTAGAAAATATGTATGAGAGGGTGTAAGGAAGAATGAAGGGTTAAAATCAGAAAGTTAGAGCAAGTATGAAAGGGTGGAGGTATGAATGAGTGGTGTATGATTGTGTAGCATGCATGAGAAGGATGAAGGAGTGTAAAAACTAGAAAATATGTATGAGAGGGAGAAAGGAAGAACGAAAAGTTTTAATCAGAAAGTTAGAGCAAGTATGGGGAGGTTTAGATACGAATGAGTGGTGTATGATTCTGTAGCATGTATAAAGGGATGAAAACGTGTAGAAAACATAAAATATGCATAAGGAGCTGAAAGAAAGAATGAAACGTTTAAAATCAGAAACTTGGAGTAAGTATAAGAGGATGAAGATGTGAATGAATGGTGTATGATTGTGCAGTACGCATGAGAGCTATGAAAGTGTGTAAGAAACACAAAGTATGCATCAGAGGATGAAGGGAAGAGTGAAGGGTGTAAATCAGAGAATGAGAGCAAGATAAAATAAATTATTGATGTATGTATGTGTATTAGAATGCATGAGAGGGATGAATATGTAAAAAAGAATGTGCAACAAACAGAAACTATGCATAAGGGGGCGAAGGGAAGAATGAAGGGTGTAAATCCATGTGTGAATGTATGTGTGAGAGGGTAAATATCAACGACAGGTATATGAATGCGTAGGAGTGTAGATATTGTTGGAGAAAAATGGATGATTATAATAAAATTGTTACAAACAATTAAATAAAAGACATTTAAGAAAAGGGGAGCGTGTATTTGAGGATAAAGATTCGAATAAGTATGAAGGGATAAAAGAGTGATTAAGAGTTTAACTGACAAGGTATGAATGAGGCGGTAAAGATAAGAATTAAGGATGTAAATATGAGAGACTGAAAGCATTATTGAAGGGGTGACGCGATATGAATAACTGATACAAATATGTGTAACATGCATGAGAGGGATGAAAGAAACATACAGCGAAAATATCATGTAGGAATTAGAAGAAATGTAATTACAAATGGCAAATATCTGATTTTATTTATTAACTTATTTATTTCAAAATATTAACACACCAAACGTCTACTATGCAGTAGAACAAATAACAAAAACTTCATGATATTGTCGTAAATAGCACAGAAAGGATAATAATACAAAATAATACTAAAATATTCTTCAAAAGGAAAGTACGTAATAATATAAATAATTTCATTGTAAAACACTCACCTTAGGGGATGCTGCCAGTTGTCGTTACATCTCTGGAATAGGGGCGCTGTGGGGAACATCCTTGCTGACATTGGGAAGGGAAACCGATGACGACTGTAAGAAAAATAAATTTAATTGTCATTAAGAAAAGGTAAAATTCAACTTAAAATTCATTTAAGTCGTCCAAATATTTATTGTTAGGGAAGAATAGATAATAATAAAATTGTTACAAACAAAAACAATGGAAAACATTTAATGAAAAAGGGAGAGTGTGAAAGGTGATTAAGGATATAATTGACATAACGATAAGAATTAAGGATGTAAATGAGAGAGGGAGGCCAAGTATGAGATGGTGAAGATATACGATATATGTGTTGAATGCATCAGAGGGTTTAAGGCGTACTTAAGGTTTGTAAAAAACAGAAAGGATCCATGGAAGAGGTAAAGGATGTAAACCACAAGAGGGATGGAGGGGTGATGAGGGTGTGTCAATAACAAAATCTATGAATGAAAATGTTAAATAGGAATGAGGGGTATACATATCAGATAGAAAGACAGAAACCATGATGAGAGGATGAAGGTATGGGTGAAGAGATCGTGTACCCATATGTAACATTCGAGAGAGGGATGTAAAAAATATAATAAGTATGCAAGAGAGGGAGTATGATCTAATTCAAGCATGAATTATAAGAAATTAATTACTTTGAAAACAAATCTCTGATATCTATTGATTTATTTATTTACCTATATGATTAAAAAAAAAAGGATCAAAGGTCCTTAAACACACAATATATTATAAATAATTTTATTGTAAAACACTTACCGTGGGGGACGCAGACTGTTGCCGTCACATCTCTGGAATAGGGGCGCTGTGGGAAACATCCTTGCTGACATTGGGAAGGGAAACCGATGACGACTGTAAGAAATATAAATTTATTTGTCATTAAAAAAACGTACAAATCCAACTTAAAATTCATTTGAGTCATCTATATATTTATTATAAAATTGTTACAAACAACAACAATGGAAAACATTTATAGAAAAAGGGAGAGTATGTGAGAGGGTGAAGATTCGAATCAGGGGTATTAATGAGAGAAAGCTGTCACGAGTAAGAGGATTATTAAGGTGATTAAGGGTGTAATTGACATAAAATATGCCTGAGGCTGAAAAATAAGAATTAAGGGTGTAAATAGAAGAGTGAGAGCAAATATGACAGGGTGAAGATATGAATGAGTGGTGTATGTATGTGTAGTATGCATCAAAGGGATGAAGGCGTAATGAATGTTTGTAAGAAATAGAAAGTATGCATGAAAATGAGAGGGTGAATATCAATGGCGGGCATTTATATGTGCAGCATGCATTAGAGGGATGGAGGCGTGATTAGGGGGTGTCAATAACAGAATGTATGAATAAAAAGGTGAAATAGGAATGAGGGGTATAAAACAGATGGAAAGACAGAAACCATGATGAGAGGATGAAGATATGGGTGAGAAGATCGTGTACTCATATGTAACATGCGAGAGAGGGATGTAAAAAATAAAAAGTATGCAAGAGAGGGAGTGTAATCTAATTATGGATGAAAAACAAATAGTAACAATATCAAGCATGAATTACAAGAAATTAAATTAATTACTTTGAAAACGAATATCTGATCTCTATTTATTTATTTATTTATTTATTTACCTATATATTTCAAAATATTAACAGATCAAAGATTCTTAAACACACATTACATTAACTAACAAACAATATATTGTACTAATCGTACGTAACACACAAAGAAGATAAAATAATATTATATCCAAAAGAAAGTATGTAATAATATAAATAATTTTATTGTAAAACACTTACCGTGGGGGACGCAGACTGTTGCCGTCACATCTCTGGAATAGGGGCGCTGTGGGGAACCTCATTCATGATTTTGGGAAGGGAATCCGATGGCGGCTGTAAATTATTTCAATATTTAGAAGAAGGGACAGCACCACATATGAAAGGATGTAGATTGAAATTAGAGAAAGTTAAAATACACGAAAGGATGAAGACGAGGTTGAACAGTAAAATTACGGAACATATATGAGAGGGTAGTAATAAGAATGGGGGGTATGAATCAGACAAAGAGACAATGCATAAGGGTTTGAAGGTATAAAACAAATAGTAAAAATAGCATTTATAAATTACTATGAATACAATTACGCATCAAACAAACATATACTATAAATAATTTTATTGCTAAACACTCACCGTAAGGGATGCAGCCCTTTGTTTTTCATCAATCAATGGGCACTATCCAGCATGACTTCGGGAAGAAAAACCGATGGCAGCTGCAACAAAACATATTTATTTAATATTGCGAAGACGTACGAAGAAAGTAAACCTTAATGAAAACTGCTTTATTAGTTGTTGAGAAGCAACAGATAATAACTTACAAGTTCAAATTAACTTAAGAATTTCAATCAACCACGAAATAATTAAAAGAAAACACTCACCTTCATGGATGCAGCAGATGATTGGTTATCTGACCCGAGAAGAAGAACCCCTCGAAAGACTTAGCACTGCTACAAAATCAAATATTATTATTGCAAACCAATTCTTACGAAAATTACTTACAGACTCAAATTATTAAATCAAATTTATTTTAAATTCCATTTAAAATTACTTTCAACTATTAAAAAGACTACAGCACGGAATTCGCAACTTTAGAGATTTACAAAATAAAAACCAGCAAAATTTTTTGAATTTTCACAACTTGCAACAAAAACAACTATTAATTATGTAAATAAATAAAATAGACTTACGAAAGTGAATTTAAGCAGCTAAGAGTTGAAGACAGGCGCAACTTGACACTCCCTTCATGACCATGATAAGGGTACCTGCAATGAAATTAAATATTATTTTTCAAAAACTACAAAACCATTCCACTAGATATTTTTTGCTAGCTTATTTTAAGTTAGACACAAAAGCCATAGGACGATAAGCATAGTGAATCGGCCCCAGAGGGATATGTGAATTATTTTTTGAGGGTATATTGTTACTAATGAGATACGTTAACTCTGAAAATTTTAGACCTCTATCTGGGTTTTGAGTAAATCAAAAAGCGAAAAATCAGAAAATATTGTTTTTCTCAAAAACGTATTAACCGATTTGAATGGAAAAAAAAACAAAAAGGTGTTTTAATCAAAATTATTAACATCTAAATANACGTTGCCAAGAGAGTCCAGTTGCAAGAGAGATTAGGCGTACTGAAGAACCTCAATCGCAAACTTCCGTTTTGAAAACAGGCGTACAGATTGCTCCTGTAAGTTAAATTGAAAAGGAATTGATCCGAAACAATGGCACTATCATGGGCATGAAGGTCAGCTCCCTTGGGCACCTTTTGAATGAACTTGAACACTTCAGATCTTTCAACTTGTGGTATCGACTTGAAGAAATGTTGAGCAGGAAAAAAATTTAGAACGTTGTTAAATCCGTTGTTGTACTCATCAGATTTGATCTTAATGAGTCTTTTATTAACAACTTCCTCTTCCTGGGTAAGTTTGATGGAAGATCCAAGTATTTGGGAAAATTCTTCTTGTATTAGTTTTTCTCTGTCTGCCCAGTAGTCACATAAACAAACACTGCATTCGAATGCCAACAACACTAAAAGTATCGTCCAGTTCATTTCGACCAAATCTTTGTAATGTGAACAAACAATGACAATAAATCGGTCTAGTACTTTTAATGTTGAGCGTGAGGGTATGTTTGTCAAAGCGCCAATCTATATGTATTTCGATCGATAAAAAAAATCAATAAGAAAATAATCGAAATCAATAAGTGCCGCACTTGAACTATTACGTACTACGTTTTCATGGAATTGTTGATTTTCTCATATTAGAAAATTACGAATCCGAATATTTATTTAATAGGTACAAAGTTATTTCAGATTTTAAAAACCTAACGATCCTGTGAAAATGCATCCATCTTCTTCTGTTTTGAAGATATACAAGTACCAAAGTTCTTCCTTCGTCTTTGATATATTCGGTGTATCAATTAAGACACTCAAATTTTCAGTACGTATTGAACTATCTCTAATTTTTGTGTCTATCAAGGATTATAGAAAACCTAATGATATAATCAGACTACCTACACCACGTGGTAGCATTCAGATAAAAACACATAAACATTTACGATTGCGTGAATTGATTATTGTTTAAGTATCGCCACGTGGCGTTTTAATCATATTATTTTAATTAATTTTAAGGAATTTCACATGAACAGTGAAACAGTATTTTGATTACAATTATAGTAAATTTATTTTAACAAACCTTTTATTAGCTTGACTTTTGAAAGTCATAAATGTAATGCCAAGAAAATCAAATTCACCAGCACATTTACTAGCTACATTTATCATATTTCAAGTATTAATCATAGCATAGCATCTTAACAATTAAATAACATTCAAACTTTATTTATAATTAATTATCTATTAATTTCATAATTCCATAGATGCACTTCCATAGATGCACTCAATTGGACTTTGAAATTAAAAAGTTTAAAATATTACTGCAAAAAAGTGCAAAAAACCCGCATTTAACATTCCCCCAGCTACCAGTTAAACGCCGACATCCGCCTCCCAGCTTCACCACGAACTCTTCGTGATGAAGGATACCTGGGAAGTCGAAGTCGACGATAAACCGATAACTGGAACAGTGGAAAATACGGGGGTAATACAACGCCGGACTTACAGTCGCCCGTTTGGCCTATTCCACCTAATAACGCTTTGCTATAGGTACCCTCACTCAGCGTCTAGGCAGTCAACCTACGATCTGCGACCGTATTACCGCTTGAGTGACTAATAAGCCTGCCTTATATATCGTTCAACCGCGAAAAATAGCGGTGAACAGTAACGCTTGTATTTAATTTTTAAACCTAAACGGTTAAAAATATGAGCATTCTTCTGTACAAAATCCACTGCAATCATAATTTTGAAAACATTTGTAGAAGCAATTTTTAAGTAAACAATCAGAACTGATCATTGCATATAAACTGAATTAATATGATTAAGATTGTAGCTGAACTACTTGAAAATTATTAAAACAGTTTCAGAAAAACTTGAAAAAGTCCCTTATCAAGTAAAAACCTTCAAAATTCTACCCTAAACGACGAAATTTTAATAATAAGTACGACCAAACGGTAAAAACTCACCTGGAATGTTGTTTTATCCATTATTAGATACTTCATAGAAATGCTCCACATTAGACAAGATACTGCATTGGTTTTATCCATGGGTAACACATTTCAACAACAAACGTCCTTTTTATTGACTTTTTTTTATAACGAATAAGATGTTAACGCGTCTTTAACTAACAAATACCAACACTGATATCACTACGTGTTTCGCTTTGGATTTCACTATATATTTCGCTGTTCGAACCACCAAAATTACGATTTTCCGAAAACGATTTCACAGAAACACATTAATGGCCAAATATTGTTAACAACTGCGGAATTTTCCAGCTTGTTACGTATGTGAAAACAAAGTCAGCAGAGGCAGAACTGAAAGACTGGTGGCGCAATCGACAACCGTACTACGAAGAGCTTTTGAACTAACACCAACAATTACCAACAATTTTAAAATATTAATAATAAATTTATCGCATAATACGAACAAGCTATAAAGCATTAAATTGCATCAAAAATAGGGCATGGTGCATAAGAAGAGATTACCTTGTATAAAATTATAATTCCTTTTTAATTTAACTTCTACGGCGTAGCAAGAACAAACTTTAAACTGCAAAATGCATACCTCTAATTTAGAATATATAATCTAAAAAAATCAGGAAATTTTGTGAGGGCAGTCATCCCTTTTACAAATTGAAAACATTGTGATTTAATAAAACGTGAAATTATTCACGGTTCCAGCAGCTTTTCACCCCTAGCTTCATTACCTAAGGAGCTTTCACCAAACAGATTGCACCATCAGATTCCGCAGCATCTTCTACCCCTAATTAATGTTACAGGGGGCGTCAAAAAAATTGTTAGGGTATCATAAACTTGGATGCGCTTTTTAAAATGCGAAATTATTGACAGTTTTAAAAGTTTTTCACCCCTAGCTTCATTATCTGAGAAGCTTTCACCAAACAGATTACACCATCAGATTTCGCAGCATCTTCCACCTCTAATTAATGTGACAGAGGGCGTCAAATAATTTGTTTTGAAATCGGAAACTGAGATGCGCTTTTTTAGAACACGAAATTATTAACGGTTTTTATAGTTTTTCACCCCTAGTTTCTTTTTTTAAGGAGCAATAATCAAACAGATTGCACCATCAGATTCCGCAGCATCTTCTACCCCTTTTCAGTGTTACAGAGGGCATCAAAAACTTTGTTAGGGTATCAGAAACTTGGATGCGCTTTTTTAAAATGCGAAATTATTGACAGTTTTAAAAGTTTTTCACCCCTAGTTTCATTATCTGAGGAGCTTTCACCAAACAGGTTACACCATGAGATTCTGCAGCATTTTCTACTTCTAACAAATGTCATAGAGGGTGTCAAATAATTTGCATTAACTTCGAAAACTTAGATGCGCTATTATAAAATGNATTTAAATAAGTATAAAATATTTTTTAAGAAAACCTTGCAGGCATTTGCTCATTTTTTAAATATTGGAGTTTTTCTAGACTAATAGTTGTGTTTGTACTATATCACCAACTGCAAAGATTAAATATGATTCATATTTTCCTGTTTGAGATATGGTTTTTTATCTTTATCTTATAGTTTCTTCAGTTCAGCAACAAATAATTCTTCTATACGCCTCTTTATTTGCCTCTGTTACCGTTTTAATTGAAAAAAAAAGACTGATGCCTAAATAGTTTGCTTAACGTGAAATATCGAGTCAAAATATTTACAACCCCATTTTCTTTCTGATCTTTTACACATTGCAATAAGAGAAAAAAATGGAATCCATAGTTTCTTTAGCTTTAGGTTCATCTAATAAGTGAAGTTTTCTAAAAATTTTGGTGCTAATAAATACATAGAGCACACCACATAGTGCCACCGGTTCCTGTGTCAAATCTTTCGACTTTATTTCTGCTATAATATAAAAAATAATTTAAACAAAATAAAAGCGCTCGTAAAATTATTGGGAGATGAAGAATATTTAAGAGGGTTGATGATTAAAAAAATTATAATTATACAAAACAATAGTTAAGAGTCTCATGGCAACAACAGTTTTTGAGTGCGGCATTAAAAGGGTACTTATCAAGATTGTTTTTGTGTAAATATTTATTTATTGAGAAATAAATACACGCGTTGAAGCCCTTAACAAAATTAATAAGGAATAAAAAAGATTTATAGTTTTTCAATTTTCTGATAACTGAAATCAATATGAAATAATTTATCATTTGCGTGATGCATTTTCCAATAACAACTTTTAATTTAAAACTGTTATCTACAATTGCACACAAATCTCTAACACTCCAAAAAATCGAAATAGATTAAGAAATTAAATAAGAGCACAGGGGTTAACTTCCCTTCTGCAGCATGCATTGTAAATTACTGGCAAATAAATAAGCAAACAATTTAGTCAATTTTTCTTGCGTTAAATATAGACTTTAAGCTATACAACAACTAAAAACAAATATATATTCCTGTATCTAGTTATCCAGTTACTGCAAAAAAGAAATTCCTCCAATATCACAAAAACTGATTCACAACAGAACGTGATAAACAAGGACCACACAAGACAACACGGTGTAGGATAATTCATCCAGGATCATGAACAAGCATATTTAAAAAGTCAAAAATACGTAAACATCAAAAGAAATCATTTAATATTCAAATATTGATTACATAAATTATTCGTAAACGGTAATTTTCAACTGTATTAAAGTTTTTCACTACGAAATGGTACTAAATACCATGGCTCAGTTTCCATATGTCCTCGATTAAAGGTGTCTTACAAGGTCATAATTAATTGTGTTATTTTATAGCAGACCAGGCAACCCAATATACACAGAAAGTTACAGCATGGCCTACACAAAAAAACGTTTTAAAATCAATTACAACAATCATACAAGAACAACTTTAATGTTTTCATAATCCTGAAGTTCCTGGTTCTGTAGGAAGTCCATGATAAACTTTTTCCATTTCTTTTCCCACAAAGAAAACGCAAAATTTCTTTCGTCGTCATTAGAAAACATGCTGTATTTAAGTGAGTTAATAGCAAGTTGTTTCAAAAATCTCAGATCAGTATATTTACTGGATAATCCCATAAACGCCATATACCAGTCGTAACTAAGTCCCTTGGTCCCCCAAAAGCTAGGGTCATCGTTACATATGACCACAGGATAATTTTGATTAATATAGAAAATGGCTGGATGATTTCTTAAATCTTTTACATATGTTAACACCTGGTTTGATATAGGATTGACCTCTATGGCAATGTCTTTCTCTTTTACCATCTGTAGAAGTTTGGGATGTTTTAAAAGGGCAAAGCCGTGCCCTATTCTTGACGTATTTAGAAGAATTGCATCCACCAAATTCTCGTCTATATCTGTCCCATACCATTTCGTTTCGCCGGCGTGGAAAAAGAATTTTACAATTCCTGAAAGTTGTACAATTTAAAAAACGTCAGGTGTATCGTAACGTGAAGATACAACAACCAACCTTCTAAACTTTTTATCTGTTCAATGAAATTCTTCAACGGATATCCCTTCTTTTCTTCCCCAACCAGATCAAAACCTGCCAAAAAATCAGGGTAGTATTCCTTCAACGTTTTCACCGTTTCGACATACTTCCATGCAGTGGCATTATCCGCAAGTCTCATCGGGGCGTAAATGAACTTAGCACCAACAAAATCAGGATGATCTTCTTTAAATTTCTTCAACACATTGATATACAATCCTGCCACTTCGACCTCATCATAGACGGTACCGTTCAACTCGTACACTTCCGGTAATAGACCTCTAAACTCCAAGTACATCACATTGTCTTCGTATAATTCCTCGAGAGCCCTGTAGAAATAGTCTTCAAACACGGGTCTGTAGGTGATCAAAGGAGATACAACGGCAAAGATGTCCTGAAAGGCAGTCCACACCTCGTCCACGCTCTTGTACATCCTTTCCGGGTTGTCGACGATCAAACTAAATTTGGAACTTATAAAATCGTCAACGGAAGGACTTATCTGTCTCAATTTTTTCAGGAGAATCCACTTGCAGGAAGACTCCGGCTTACTAAAGAACTTCAATTGAAAACTTCCGTTACGAAAACAGGCATACAGATTGTTCCTGTAAGTTAAATTGAAAAGGAATTTTCCCGAAACAAGGGCAGTGTCATGGACATGAAGATTGGCTCCCTTTGGCAGCTTTTGAATGAACTTAAAGACTTTGGAGTTTTCTACTTGTGCTTTCGTTTTGAAGAAATGTTGAGAAGGTAAAAAGTTTACGACGTTATCAAATCCGTTGTTGAATTCTTCTGATTTGATCTTAATGAGTCTTTTGTTAACGACTTCTTCCTCGTGGGTAAGTTTGATGGAAGATCCAAGTATCTGGGACTCTTCTTCTTTTATTAGTTCTTCTCTGTCTTTCCAGTAGTCACACAAACAAACACCACATCCGAATGCCAACAGCACATAAAACAACATCGGGTGCATTCCAACCAAATCTCAATAACAAATAATCACAATACGTTAACGTTGCGTGTAGTGTTGAAGGCTAGATTTGCTAAGACACTGAATCAATTTATATTTCGATCGATATAACAAACCAATAAAAAAATAATCGAAGTAAATTGATTATCGTACATTAACTATTTCACAGTATATTGTCGCTGAATTTCTATTTTCTTTTATTGCAAAATAACAAATCAAAATATTTGTTGTATGATACAGTAGTAAAAGAGATAAAAAATGTTAAGTGGTATAGGCCAAATTTTATTCATTTTTTACAACCCTATTAGAAAAATTGGGTTTATTAAGTAGGTCACTTAGATGTTGAAAGCATTATTAATTATCTCAAACCGTTGTCAGCTCTTTAATTACATAGTGTACCAGAATTTCTAAGAAACGTAGTTATCGAAATAGACCGATCTTCTTGTGTTTTGAAGATATACAGCGAAAAATTATACGCATTTTTCATAATTAGAATAGCAATTTGTTACGTATGTATAAATGTTATCAAAACAATTGTTAGAGTCATTAAATTAAGTTTGTGAAACAATGACTTCTTTTATCTTCTTTAAGTTCTTAATAAATTGTAGATCGGTGGTTATAGATATATTTGAAAAAATACATTGTTTGGGTACGATATTTGTTATTATTATTTTAAGAAATTGGGTACTCTAACCGTTTTATCAGTTTCTAATAGAGTGTAACTTAAAACAATAGTCATGTACTTCAATTGAATAATATCAAAACGTAATTTTTGTAGTCGATATTTCAGTAGAAATATAAATCTTTGTTAAATGCTTTTAATACAAAAAAATTCGTAAGTAATATAGTCCAACATCCCAGAGCCATCAGACGCTACTTATTTTCTGAGTAACCAAATAGGTAGGAAGGGAAGTTTTTCAATATTTTTTGTGAGTAGCCGGACCAGTTGTAGGGGCCAAACATCCCCTAGAGACAATTAAAATGTCACCGTGTTATAAAGTATAAAGTTTCGGGGGACGTTTTGCTTCTACAACTGGTCTGGCTGCTTATAAGAAGTACTGAAAAATTTCCCTGAGTATCATATTTAAAAATGAAATGGAAACTCAGACTATAAGTAAAATTACGATTTTCTTTTGCCTATTTTAAAGCGTCTGGAAGAATTTCCGTCAATGGGAAGTTTCTGGTAGTTCGAAATGTGGTGGTACAGGCGAATGATGAGGATACCATGGATAGAGAAGGTTAGAAATGAAGAGGTATTAGAAAGAATAGGTGAACAGAGGACTCCATGGAAGTTAATAAAAAATAGGCGAGATAGGTTAGTAGGACTTCTCAAGCATGAAGGTCTAGTCAGAGACATATTAGAGGCAGAATCGGGAGTTAGGAGGGGTAGAGGTAGACCTAGAAGGATGTGGGTTGTTCTAGTTTTAGGGAAATGCAAAGATTAGCTCAGGATAGGAAAGAGTGGAGGTGCGTGTGCAACCAGTTTTAGGACTAACGACCTTATGATGACGACAGGGGCGAACTAAGGCCTAGGCAACCTAGGCACGTGCCTGAGACCCGTAATTTTTGGAGCCCGAAAATTAGATTTTTAATTTTTTAATTTTTATTTGAAAAATATTTTATCTAAAAAATACGCCCGAAATTACAATGTTGCCTAGGGCCCGCTTTAGCCTTAATTCGCCACTGAATGATGATGAATATTTTGCGAAACATTATGTATAGACACATCAGCACTCAGACTTTAAAGAAAACCATTTTATTATTCAGAAAATAAGTAATGTCTAACGGTTCTGGGATCTTTATACTCTAATAAAAAAGCTACGAATGATGGTTCCCGTTTTTCATTTTCACAAACATAACTTTTTCGACATAAACAGTTCGCAAAAATCGTAACCAGTTTGCTTCGAAAACGTCCAAAGCCGATTGCTTTTCATCGTAACTTATAAGAGACTGTTCTATTGAATTGAGCGCCAACTGTTTCAAAAATTCCAATCCAGCGTTCTTCTTAGAGAACGCCAAAAAGGCCAAATACCAATCGTAACTCAAGCCTTTAGCCCCCCACAGTCCAGGGTCGTCGTTACATATGATCAACGGTAACCCTCTTGAGACGTACATAGTAGCCGGATGGTTTCTCAAATCGTCAACCAACCACAACACTTGATTAGATATGGGTGATATCTCTAATCCAATGTTCCTTTTTTTAACCTTGTTCAGTAATACAGGGTGTTTATTTAAACTATACGCATGTCCTATCCTTTTAGATCCCAACAAGATGGCGTCCACCAAATTTTCGTCTACGTCATACCCGTTCCAGTTTGTTTCTCCGGCGTGAAACACGAAATTCACCTTCCCCTTTATCGGGAGCAGTCTTCCAATTCTGTTTTTCAGTGGCACTCCCGGATCTTCGAACCCGACCAGGTCGAATCCCACCAAATATTCAGGATATTTTTTTTGCATTTTCAGATAAAGCTTTATGCTTTCGTCGAAGTCTTTGTCGTCCATGTTCCTCGACGGGGAGAAGATTATCTTCGCTCCCAAAAAATCGGGATGGTCTATTTGGAACCGTTTAACTGTGTCAATAAATATTTGCAAAAACATATCTGGTTCGTACATGTTGTCCAGATCGTACACGGGCCAAAAGTTGGCCCGAAACTCCGCGTAAAACACATTGTCTTCATACAACTCCTTCAGGGATTGATAAGTGAGCTTCTCGTACACCGGAATGTACGAAACAAGTCCGTTGTAAGTGCTGAAGAGAGATAAAAACTTCTTCCACACTTCTAAGTTGTTCTGGTACGTTTTCCGGGTGTTAGAATCAATGACCATTCTGTTCTTGAGCCAGTCGTCGATCGTTGGGTCTATCCGCCTCAAATGTTCCAGTTTGGTCCACTTGCAAACGTTATTCTGTTGCCCTTCTCGAAAAAAATACATTTTGGCCTTGTCCTTGCATATGTACAAATCGTCCATGTGGGTGATGTTCCAGAAGACGAAGTCGAAAGAAACGGAAGCGGTCAAATGGGTATGAAGAGACGAGCCTTTCGGTAACGCTTTTATAAACTGAAACAGTTCCGATTTTTCGATTTCGTTTTTCACATCAGCGAAGAGCCATGCCGGCGAGTACAAACTGGTGTTCAAATAGGAGGCCGACAGTTCTTTCGCTTTCAACTCCAAAAGGATTTCGTTCACCTGACTTTCCAAGAGGTTCAGTGTTATTTGACTACCAAGCGACCGGTCGGTTTCCCTTTGCAGAATGTTTTTGCGTTGCTTCCAGTAACGGTAGGATGCACAGTCACCGTTATCACTAACCGCTGCCGATGAACTCGCAATTACGAACATTACGGTAGGAATAAGAGACAACATATTACCAAGAAGGGAAGGTTGAAGTTGAAATGTGAATAGAAACGATTATTCAGTAGAAGCTCGTTATCGCAAGGCCGTGTAGGAAGATTGCTTAATAACTCTACCACAACAATACATAATAATAGTCTATTCGTAGAGATAACGGCAAAATCTACTGCCTACATATATATACGTATGGCTTGGTATACATATACACTAGCGGCGAACTAAGTACAAATATCCATTAGCCAAGTATTCATAATGAAATTTTAATTATTGGTTGGCGGATCTGGTAAAGGTCTAGATGATGGCCCCTACGCCCGAAGGGGGTGGGGATGGGGGGTATCGAAAGAGGATGTCTCCCCCGCCACTGTACCATAAAAATTTCGTGGCGGTCTCACCCCCTTAAAAAGTTACAGGGGTTCAAAGTTAATAAATATGCCAATTTTTATACATTTCTAGGCATGTAAATATTTATATAGTCATTCTTAAACAATATTCAAAGGTAAAACTAATGGAAAAATACATTAAAATATTAAGAAAGTCATATACAACATTATTTAAATATCTTTATCAATAGGGTAGGTTAGGTTAGGTTAGGTTATGTTAGGTTATGTTATCGGGTTTTGTTCAAGTGACCACCCTCTTTCAATCCCACCCACCCCCACCCCCAAAAGGGGCCATCATCTTGACATTTACCGGCGGATCTTAAGCGAGATTATAATGGTCATAAACAGTAAAAGTCTGCAAGGTGATAAGATCATACAGTTGGGACGATTATAATTGGCAATGTCCACAACAAGGTCCATATATATGGACGTATCTTCGTTCTTGCTTCCACTTAGGACGATAGTCATTTGTTGTGTTTTGAACACGCTCAAGTTAAGTCAGAAAATGCTTCATGAGTAGTACTGATAAAGTGAAAAAAGATAACCGAATGACAGTAAGCGATACAGCGGTTAGAAGTTGCTAGGGACGCAAAAGATCAGGGTCGGCTTTATAAATGCCTGGTTGAAATTATATCTTTAAACAAGTGCCTTTTCTTCCCTAAATTCCTGAGAATATTGAACTTTCTTTAAAGTCCAATGCTGGCAACATGTTAAATTCTGCTTGTCTGTATCTCTTTCTGTTACACATCAATCGGTGTAAGGTTATTCCTTTATCTTTGCTAGTGTCCGCTGCAATTGCTACCTGGCATCTCTTTTCTATCTTAACGATATTCCCTCCCTACAACGTTTGTCCTGAATAAAATGAGACGTTCTGTCAGCAACCGATCTAATCTGGTTAATAAGTTGAAAGAATAATGTAAGTGGGATAGTTTTATTGCGAACTATGCCAATTTTAAACGTCCCAACTATACTAATAAGTTATCGTTAATCAAAACCTATTATACCAACAACCGACAGAAATTGTAACAGTTCAGTTACACTGATGTATCCTTGTTCACGAAAAAAAGTAAACACAAGAACTATGTCAATATAACATACAATTTAGTTTAGTAATCAATAAATAATATAAATTAGGGCAAGCTATCTTAATACTATCTTAATTACTAATTTTCATTAGGCAGACGTTTTCTTTCGCTTATTAAATTATTATTGCTAGTGTTTATTTTTCTAGTAGAATTTCCCTGTACTACCGAACACCCGGCGTTATTATCCGGTACCAGGCCGGATCATAAAACAACTACCGGATCCAAACCGGGTACCCTGGTCATCTGAAAATTTAATACTTTATTCAAAATAAACTAATAGTTCCGCTAGTTTAAGACAGTCTTCAGATAGTTGTGATTGAAGAGCACATTTCATACGTTCGCCAAATTACACATTTTTGTGTATGTTCGACGAACATTTTGCCGTACTTGTATAATATTTCCATAAATTTAAACTGTCTCTTTTCTTATCGGCTAAATACACAAAATTATGATGCTGTAACTATCATGCAAATAACTTACAGTGTGCAGTGTACTTTATGATAACCTTTTCTATTGTTAGATTATGTGTGGTTTCGGCTTCATTCATAAATTGATAAAATAGATATGACTCTTATAGTCACAAACTAAACTCCAAACGGGTGCATAAAAAGTGAAATTGAAAATCTGCGTAATCAAAAAATTTAACTTCCCAAAAACTGAGTTTTCCGATTGTTAATAAAAAGATTAGGCAAATGTGGCTATACATCGAGAAGTATTTATCATTTACAGATTAAACACTAAAGTTTTTTTAATAGTAAAATCCAGAAAACAATTTTATTTTTATCGGTTTTATTTCAAATCAACCAACTTCAAAATTTACTTTTGTTCATTCTAAATTTATTTTATGCTACCTTAATATTACAAACGCAAATGTATGTTTGTTTGTTACTAGTTTACGCCTTAACTACTCAACGAATCATCATGAAATTTTGTCTACATATTGTCAGGGATTCAGAAAAGGACATAGAGTATTTTTTATCCAAAAAAGTAATACTCTTCCCGAAGAATACAAAAATTAGTTTTATGTGGTCGTCGATTATCTTTAACATGTATTTAAGACATCAAGGCGAGCGAAGACGCGTGTAAAACCTAGTATAGAAATAAATAATAAAATCATAAATTTGGAAACCGTTTTATCAGTATTGTTTAACATTTGTTTCAAGTCAAAAGTTAGCTAGTAAAAAAACAATTGCCTAAACAAGTCTGCAATAAAAATTTCGATTAATTCTTCGTTTATTTTTGTTATTAAATATTTAATATGTAATATGTACTTTAGCAAATCTTGATGGTTTTATCGTTGTTATTGTTTATAAAATAAATGAAACTCAAAAATTTTGAAAGATAAAATCACAGTTCAAAAGAATCTAAAACAAATACGTAATAATTTATATCAAAGAAAAAACTCATTAGGATAAAAGCGAACTTTGCAAATACCATGCAAAAATTTTTATACTCCGCCGTTGGAGATGGGGACAGAGGTCAAAGATAAAAACAGCTTTGTTATCAGTAAATATTCTCAAGTGTGTGGTACAATAGTTCAACAACAAACCAAACCAATTAAGAAGTCAATTAACATTTTGTATTACTAGAAAGAAGTGTGTGACAAAAACACTTGGATTTTTTGACTAAAAATATTTATCGTCGCGAGAATTACCCGCAATATTTAAATCAATAGTTGGTACAATAAAATTATATTGTATTCTTATATTAAGAATTAAGAATATGATGTTTTGGTTTATTTTTTAATATTAGCAATGCTTTACGGGTGGATTCCAACATCCCCAAGATCAATGCATTGTCCATTGTCAAAACAAACGCATGAGTTACAAGCCAATGCATTCTCTTCCAGAATTATGTTAAAATTGTCAATAACATAAGCATAAACTTTTAAACATAGTAAATCACCTGGAGATATCTAAAACAGAAAATTTACGTAAGTCCCAAGACTAGTTTTCAAAAATATTTTTTATTTATTAAATTTATTAAATAAAAGTAAAACTAAAATACTGGTATGCAAGGGAAGAAAAAGTAGGGAAAGAGCGAATATAAAGATAGGAGACGAAAAATTAGAAGAAGTGGCTGATTTTAGATACCTAGGAAGTCAGATAAGTCAGGACGGAAGGAGTGGTAGGGATACAAAGCAGAGGATAGCGCAGGGTCGTGTCGCCTTTAATAAAAAGAAGTCACTTCTATGCTCGCGAACGGTTAATTTAGAAATTCGAAAAAGGTTGTTAAAGGTATATGTTTGGAGCACAGCGTTGTACGGGTGCGAAACATGGATAGTGGGCGCGGCGGAAAAGAAAAGGTTAGAAGCGTTCGAAATGTGGTGTTATAGGCGGATGAGGATATCGTGGGTAGAAAAGGTTAGAAATGGAGAGGTATTGGAAAGAATAGGAGAACAGAGCTCTACGGAAGACAATTAAAAATAGGCGAGATAGGTTGGTAGGACACCTTCTCAGGCATGAAGGTCTAGTCAGAGAGATATTAGAGACAGAAACAGGAGTTAGGAGGGGTAGAGGTAGACCTAGATTAGATTACTGTTCGCAAATAGTTAAGGATGTGGGCTGTTCTAGTTTTAGGGAAATGCGAAGTTTAGCTCAGGATAGGAAAGAGTGGAGGTACGTGTCCAACCAGTCTTAGGACTGATGACCTTATGATGATGATGATGAAATTTACTTTTCAATGGTACTCTTGGTAATGGCCTATAATATCCGAAACGTTTTCGTCATCAAATGTAATTAATATCGATTTTCGTTTATTCTAAATCACATACTTTACACTAAATGATCCAAAATGTACGAAAAAAATAAAAAATACCCAAATATCTTGAAAATAAAATTAAATTACTCTATTTCTGTGTTTTGTTTGATAAAGCATTTAAGCAATTTTTCTAAGGTTTATGTTAATAATTATGATATAATTGAACACTATAATTAGTTAAAACTCCAAGAAAATTTAGTTATTGTTTAAACTATACAGAAATAATACTGTAGTGAGTTGCAAATAAGTGAATCGTTGTTTCAATATGTTAGTGAATTAATTTTTGAATTAATTTTATCCACTACAGATACTGGTTCAAGTACTCTAGGGGCCAGGGTTCAAATCCCCGCAAGGAAGTGACAACAACAACAATTTTTCATTATTAATTTAAGGTTATCAGTAGTGGTAAAATTAATTCACTAACACAAGACAGTATTAAGTATTTCGATCTAATTAGATGTCATCAGCACATAAAGTCTTAACCTATCTATGAATGAATGTTATTTTACTAAACAAGAACTTATAATTTTCTTATCCATTTGGTTTACTATTGGATATACCACAAAGTTTTAATAATCAAAAGTTCATCATACTTAACAACTTACAATATCTTTACCAATATGTTCTGATTCATTTGCGCCAAAACGTTTGTTTATAGAATACCCTCTCTGAAGATGATACCTTAGAAACTCAAATTGTTCTAAAAAGTATAAAGAAAGGACTTTTATTTATATATAGCTTTCCATGTTGTCAAATATTATTCTATTTTTGTATTCATTTTAAAAATAGTGACTTAAGTATGTATTTCATTACCTATACCTGATTCAGGAACATTCTCCAGTAATTCGTCAAAATCGAACGAACGAATGCCAATAAACAAACTAAAACCTATCACCAAAATGGACCGAAAACTGCTAGAAAACATCCTCCTCCTATTATTCTTTTGTTATTTTATATTAACAAATGCAATTTTCGATAACGATTTTCAACTATTGACGAACAAGTGTGAATTAAAACTGCAAATAATGAAATATCTAAACGATTATGTTTATTTGTTGTATTCGTTTTACGTATCAGGATTGTAAATCAGGATAATCCTCTACCATATATAAACGTAATGTTGATTACGTGAGCAGTGAGGCCTCAAACACCAATTAATTTAAAAATTTATTAAATACAACCAAGCAGGTACCTACCAAATCAATATATTACTAGATACTCAGTTTTATATTTGTTAAAATAAGGATAACAAAAATAATAAGACATGTAGTTGTTGTATTTATAATTTATATTACCCAAAAGCTTTGAAGTTTCTCTAATAAATGTAACACATCGTGGAAATTATAAAGATAAGCGGGGTTAAATTGAGACTCATCTAGGGGCTGTTCTGTATCAAGTCGAATCACAACCAAGACCGAAAAGTACTTAAAAAAAGGCGGTTACAGTGTCGAAACACCCTCCACCCCAAATTTAAGAACTTTTGCAACTTGTTTGAAAAATTTTATCAATTACTTGCAGCAAGCTAAAGTTCAAGCTGAGTTTAATTGGATAATTCAAAAATCCCTTCGTTGAAATAGTTTTGGGGTTTATTCTAATTGTCTTTCTTTTTGTCAATTTATTACTTACTATCATTTTTTATAGTTTTAAAATTTGTATCATTTATAAGGACTTCGAACTCTTCAATATAGAAGGTATAGTTGAAACGTTCAAAATTGGCATAGTCTGTAATAAATTGTTTGTGACAATTGACATATCTTCTTTCTTGTTTCCACCTGGGACTATAGTCATTTGTTTTTTTAACACGCCTTTGTTAAGTTAAGAAATGCTTCTACTATATATAGGTCCAAGTTTCATCTCGTGGTACATTCTTTTACTACTCCATCTAGGCGGGAGATGTTTCGGGGTGAGGAGGGTGGTGCAGACATTATTAATTTTACAGTTATTCAACATAGCATTCTTTAAAAAAGAAATAAAAAAAGTTGAATTATGAATTCAATGCATGTTGGAAGCATTAATACATCCCTTGAATGTTCAACTCGAAATATCAAAAAAACAATTGCTTCATAACTGTCATTGTTTTATTATTATTATTATTATTTACCCCCTGTACAAAAACAAATATGCAGATTAAGAAAACATGAATTTCATTGGTTGCAATGTTACCTAACAAAAACTAAAACCTTTATTGCCTGATAAGTTCTGAGATTAAGTTCCCTTATCGTTACCTTAGGGCTCCATACCGGTCCTTTTTATCACTTTTTATTTGTCGACGACTAACAGGTATTAATTCTATCTACAGTAATTGCGTAGATACTTGAAATGTTTATTAGAAATCAATTACTATTAAAGATAGTTTTAGTATAATCTATTACACATTTCCTCAGTAAATAATAAACCGCAATTAAAAACGTATTGCTTCATTCCAATGTTGTTATTGTGACATATCACGATCCCGATCACGATCAGACAGTCTAACGTGCAGTACATCAAAATCTCCTCCAGCAATTCACTGTGGAAACGTTGGAGCATCAGACAAAGGATTTGAAATATCTTAATTCACTTATTAAGTCCGTTTTTTTTAATAAAGCTGATATCTTATCGAAAATATGCATTTTTCTTTTGGATTAATTTCAGATAATTTCGAAAAATACGTGTTTCGCACTGATAAATTCATAAATATGAACATTATACACACATATTTAAAAATACTTAAACTGTTACATACAATGTATTTAAAGTATACCAAATTAATAAAAAAAATAATAAAAACGATTCCAAGAAAACAACAAAATACACTGCTCGAAACAAAAGCTCACCAAAAAGTACAAAACGCAATTTCATTCCTGCCTTTCACTATGTTGCAATCTGGTTGACGATAGCTCCCCAGATCAAAAAGCTAGGGATGAAACTGGTAAAACTGTCAAAAATATAGCGCTTGAAAAAGGCGCATCTCAATTTCCGGTACAAAAACAAATAATTTGACGCCCTCTATAACATTCATTAGGGCTAAAAGATGCTGTAGAATATTGTGGTGTAATCTGTTTGAGGAAAGCTTCATAGATAAGAAAGATAAGGGTGAAAAACTGTTAAAATCGTCAATAATTTTACGTTTTAAAAAAGCGCATCTCAGTTTCCGGTACAAAAACAAATTATTTGACGCCCTCAATAACATTCATCAGGGGTAAAAGATACTGTAGAATCTGGTGGTGCAATCTGTTTGATGATAGCTCCATAGGTAATGAAGTTAAGGGCGAAAAACTGTTAAAATCGTCAATAATTTTACGTTTTAAAAAAGCGCATCTCAGTTTCCGGTACAAAAACAAATTATTTGACGCCCTCTATAGCAATCATTAGGGTAAAAGATGCTGCGGAATCTTGTGGTGCAATCTGTTTGATGATAACTCCATAGATAAGGAAGTTAGGGGCGAAAAACAGTTAAAATCGTTAATAGTTTTACGTTTTAAAAAAGCGCATCTAAGTTTCCGGTACAGAAACAAATTATTTGACGCCCTCTATAGCAATCATTAGGGGTAAAAGATGCTGCGGAATCTTGTGGTGCAATCTGTTTGATGATAACTCCATAGATAAGGAAGTTAGGGGTGAAAAACTGTTAAAATCGTTAATAGTTTTACGTTTTAAAAAAGCGCATCTAAGTTTCCGGTACAGAAACAAATTATTTGACGCCCTCTATAGCAATCATTAGGGTAAAAGATGCTGCGGAATCTTGTGGTGCAATCTGTTTGATGATAACTCCATTAATAAATAAGTTAAGGGTGAAAAACTGTTAAAATCGTCAATAATTTTACGTTTTAAAAAAGCGCATCTCAGTTTCCGGTACAAAAACAAACTATTTGACGCCCTCTATAACAATCATTAGGGGTAAAAGATGCTGTAAAATCTTGTGGTGCAATCTGTTTGATGATAACTCCATTAATAAATAAGTTAAGGGTGAAAAACTGTTAAAATCGTCAATAACTTTACGTTTTAAAAAAGCGCATCTCAGTTTCCGGTACAAAAACAAACTATTTGACGCCCTCTATAACAATCATTAGGGGTAAAAGATGCTGTAGAATCTTGTGGTGCAATCCGTTTGATGATAACTGCATTAATAAATAAGTTAAAGGTGAGAAACTGTTAAAATCGTCAATAATTTTACGTTTTAAAAAAGCTCAACTAAATTTCCGATTAAAAAACAAATTTATTTGACAGCCCGTATGCAAGTTCTGGGGCACGTTTAAGGTAATATCTTTGAGGATATTCATCAAAATAACAAGAAATTTTTGTATTTTGTATGACTTACCTTTTCTAATCATATGCCGCATGACCCTGAAAAATAAAAGAAACCTCTCAGATACTATAACATATGCATATAAAAAATGGTAATTTTGATTGATTGAATTACGATAAACAGGGGGTGGGAGGGAGGAAGGGAGTGTGAGTTGTTTTATGGTTTCCGTTTCATTTTTAAACTGTAACACAGAACCCTTAAGAGATAAAACAGAAAACGATGTTTTATTATGCAAATAGTGAATAATTAAATAATAATTACATAAGGGGTTTTGTAAATAAACAAAATTTAAAACAACGAAAATAATAAGAAAATATGTATTTTAATAATTGAAAGACAAAATATTCGTATTGTAAGTTTTAACAGACCGATGTACCAAGTAGAATAACAATTCGATAGTAAAGATAAACAATATTGTAAAATGTCTTTGTATGCGTGTATAACAAAAAACAAAAGAAAAACAAAAATATGTATAATTTGTACAGCAGTTGTCTTTTAAACGTTAACAGTTGAATACAGCATTACCAGTAATACCTAACCACTTAATTAAATCAGTTAAAAATACGTCTTTTCTATGATCAGCGTTCCAAATTTCCCGCTTACAAAGTCTTGGCCCTGTCGATGATAGCTCTTGAGATGATTAGCCTCTGTACCTGGGACGTTCCCTCGTAAATCATGTAAATCTTGGCGTCGCGCATCAGCTTTTCAACTGGATACTCGCTATTGAAACCGTTTCCGCCAAATATTTGAACGGCGTCCGATGCGCACTTGTTCGCCACCTCTGCCGCGTACGCCTTAGCAATAGACGCGTAATAAGTGTTCCTTCGGCCCTGGTCCACTTCCCACGCAGCCCGCATCCACCCCAATCGGGCGGTTTCAACCCCGATCGCCATGTCGGCGAGCATGAACGCCACCGCTTGATGGTGCGAAATCGGTACGCCGAACGTTTTGCGTTCGTTCGCGTATTTCGAAGCTTCGTCAAGGCAACGCTGCGCAAGACCTGTTGCTCCGCAGGCCACCTATTAGCAAACAGAACGAAAACATTAGATTTGAAAACAAGTGAACGAGAAAAAAAAGAAGGGACAATTGCTAGAGAACAACTACAAACATATGTATGAACAAACGAAAACAAAAAACAATAGATTTAGAAACAAAAGAAAGAAAAATATGACACTTACTGGTGGTCTAGTTATATCAAAACAACCCATGGCTATCTTAAAGCCTGCGCCTTCTCCTATAAGAACATTTTCTTTTGGTACCCTCACATCCTCGAAGGTTATTCCCCGGGTGTCTGAAGCGCGCTGGCCCATGTTTATTTCCTTTTAAAACAGTAAAAAATATATAGTCACGTTAATATTCTAGTAATGAAAAGAAAAATTAAACTAAAAAGGTCGTTTAAGCCCTATAAACTTCAATATTGCGAAAATAGGTGTTAACAGTTTTCTTCGCTTACTTTTCTTCCAGGTGTAACACCTGGCCACTCTCGTTCTACAATAAACCCAGTAAAAGCCTTGCTTGCAGGGCATTTGGGGTCTGGATTGGTCCTTGCCAGGACAAAGTACCTGTGAACAATTATTTAAAGTTTTACAAGAAACAATTCACAAAAACAATCGACACTAGACAAACAAATATTTCGCGTTTGTATTTTATTTTATTACCAATTAGCCACGCCTCCGTTAGTGATCCACATCTTTTGTCCATTTAGAATCCACTCGTCCCCCTTTTTCTCAGCTTTTGTTTTTACTCCAGCCACATCTGACCCAGCTGTTGGCTCAGTTACACAATAAGCCTAAAAAGAACAAAATAATAATTTATATTAGTTTTCTCTACAAATCAGATATTATAAATATATAAAAAAATATGAGTGCTGTCAGCACAGGGAAAAGTAGTATTACGTGATTGAAAGTGTGTTGCACACCTATCTACAAACAATTTCTTTAAATTTTAATCATTAATTGATTGACACTTGTCAAAAAACCATAATGGTTGACATCAGTGACAATGCGACAACAATTGAAAAAGAATGATGGCCGACAACTGCAACAATTAGAAAAGAATGATGGCCGACAACAGCAACAATTAGAAAACAATCATGGCCGACAACAGCAACAATTAGAAAAAATGATGGCCGACACTACGTCATAGCGAAGCAATAAAAATGGGCGGGGTCAGGGGAAAGAATTAGTATATTTTAAAAAAAATAAATTAACAGATATTTATTTTACTCACAGCTACAAGTGGCTCTTCCAGAAGTCGTCCCAAGTATTTTTTTTTCTGTTCCTTGTTACCGGCGAGTAAAACAGGAGCTTGCTAAAAAAACAGGTCGTTTATTAATTTGTAAATAAATTACCCAAAACTATGTACCCCTAAACTTGTTCCCTCTATAGCTGTCCCGATTCCAGTGCACCCATAACTTATTTCCTCACCTATTAAACATCCATCGAAAACTCCTTGGCCAAGACCCCCTTAAAGAAACAAAAAAAAAACAACTTAAAACAAAGCTATAACAGAAAAAACAAAAACTATACAAGCAAAAACAAAAATAAACAAAGCAAACCATAAAGAAATAGTAACATATGAACGTCTAACAAAACATTTGATTACTAAAAACAAATACATAATAGGACCTTCCTAAGAGCTACAAATAAAATTTAACAGAAAAATAGAAGCAACTAAAAAATAAAGTTTAATAACGTATGAACGTCTATAAAAACGTTTGTCTTTTAAAGTCAAACACTTAAAGGACCTGAAACATTGCCAAAAGTCTGAAATTGACTTCGGTACTTTATTTAAAGCATTAAAAGCTTACCAATATCTTCGGGAATGTGTCCATTCATAAGACCAAGTTCCCAAGCCTTTTTTACTAAGGGCCATGGATATTCCCCTGTCCTGTCATAATGAGCAGCTACAGGAACAATTTCTTCTCTGGTAAACTTTCTAGCCAGCTCTTGGAACTCTTTTTGAGTATCAGATAGCTCTAAGAACATAAAAAAAGCACATCAACTCTTTATTTTAGTTATTATTAATCAGTTACTACAATACATAATAAACCTTGGAGATATGCAAATAACGTTTTATCTATTATTATATCCATAAAATTATAAACAACTTGTTTACTATAAAGTGTAATAGGTAACCGTTTAAATTAAAGATAAATAATTACTTTCTTGATATCACCACAAACAATCAGTTTTAAATTTATACACGAATATGGAAGCAATACTTACAATCAAGTTAAGGGTGAATTTCTTATATAAAATCTGTTTTGATTGTCATTCATATCAATTTATACTCTTTATGTAGCTAATACAATTTAAAAGAAATCAAACCCAAAATTGATATAAAAAATTATACTAACCAAAACTAAATGAAGCACCGGAAGCTACATCTTCAGCAGGCTTTTGTGCAGCAAATGAGGTAGTTGATAGAGCTCTAACAACTGGTTGGACCGCTCCACGCAGAACCTACAAATATACACATTAGTATTTCCCAAACGCACCTTGTATTTCATAATCAGCTTCATAATAAAAACAAAACAACTAAAACAAATGAAACAACAAAAATTATAAACATGAAAAGCATTCTTACCTTGGGTACACAGTTCATTTTTGGACTGTATTATTCTCCAACACTAAAATGAAACTTAAAACTTCCACTTACACTTCGAATAGACACCTTTTAAATAGATTATATCTCTTAATTATATGACGGTAGCTTATTATAACAGTTCAGTACAAAGTACAAAATACAAGTTGCTCTGTTCTAAAAATGAAAATATTTTTAATAAATTCCTAACCTACACTAATAATCTAATCTCTCACTAAGGACTTGAATTAAATAAGAAAAACAATGCACAAGAGTCAGATTCTAACGAAAGCAAGCAAAAATTATACTTTCAGATATTAATAAAAACAATTAAACAAAATACTAGATTTTAATATAAACATTGCCAAAGTGGTTGAATGAATTTTGTACACAAGCACCATTGGGAGACATCTATCGACAAACACCGGAACTGCAGTATCAAAACGTCAGATTTGTAGGTTATAATAGAACTATTTGTCAAAATATATTTTTTTTAGAATTAAACAATTTGTTGTCGATAAAATGTTAAATGAATCGAATGATAACAATTCAGACAACATACCTGAAAATACAAATTTCTCCTTTAAACCCAAAAAGCGAAAGCCACTGAGAAAAAGGGCATCCTCAAACGAGAGTGGGTCAGATGAAAACGAAATTAAGTAACTAAGATGCTTTTAATATGTGTATTTACATTAAAACACTAATAAAACACTTTAGCACAAACTTAGAAGACCTAAAACTACTACAAAACCTGAGAAAGAGGCCCCGTGGAGTAAACATAGTTAGTATGACCATAGGCAAGAAAATATCAGGCGAAGGAGAAAGCCAAACTGTAAGTACTTTACTAATTGCCAAACCCTAGAGTGCTTAAGTTAATTAATTGAAACAATTTTAGAGCGACACATTCAAAGCAAAAGCAGGTGGAATGGTCAATATGCAGGCATTGAAAAATGGCAAACTGAAGCAAATCGATGATGCCTATGATACAGGGATTGGCACTCAATTCTCAGTAGAAACTAATAAAAGGGACGAGGATGACGAGATGATGAAATATATTGATGAACAATTAGCTAAACGAAAGGGCAAAGGAACAGATATTAAAAAAGATGAAGGTGAACAAAGTTTTTCAAAAACCAAATACTTATCCCCCGAGGAGGCCGCTTTACAGGCTCTTCCTGATCATTTGAAGGAGTCTTCACACAGGAAAAACGAGGAAATGCTTTCAAATCAAATGCTAAATGGCATTCCGGAAGTTGATTTGGGAATTGAAGTGAAAATAAAAAATATTGAAGCCACAGAGGAAGCAAAATTAAGACTGTTGTGGGAACAAAACAGGAAAAAGGATGGCCCATCACAATTTGTACCCACAAATATGGCATCTAATTTTGCTCAGCATAATCGCTGTATGTGTTAAGTTTAATTAATTAAATGAAATTGTGTACTGATCATGTAATATTTTTTTTTTTAGTTAACGTGGATGTCCCAGAGGTTCCTATCAAGAAATTGAAGCCAGAAAACGAAGATAAGAAGTCAAAAAAAGACGAAAAGGCCACTGATGACTATCATTACGAAAGGTTCAAGAAACAGTTTAGAAGGCACTAACGTCACAATGATAATTGTCCTCATTTTTAATCAGAAATTGTGTATTAAAGGAATAGCTGTTTATTAAGTCCTTTCGTATGATAATTCTTATATTGTAGTAGGTACATGTATTTATTTACTAATTAAGGAGATGTAACGTACAAGTAATTGTATATTTGTTTCTTAATTATAAGAAAGAAACATTGTTTTGACTTATTTAAGTATTTTTCTTTGTTTTTCACTTTAAATTGTAATGAATTATTAATTATTACTCAAAAAAAAATAAGTAGGATAATTAAAAACCATATATTTAATACAATTATGTCCGTTTTATTCAATTTAAGTCAATAATAATTGAAAACAAAATTATTTTTGGCAACAATGTGATAAACACTTGTTCAAAGACAAGTTCAAAACACCACATTGTTGCAGAAACACTAATTGACAAAACCCTCAATTGTTGAAGCGACAAATAAAAAACCCTACATTGTTGAAAAGACAAATGGAGACCCCATTGTTAAAAACAAGTGTAAACACTTTAAACAGCTGAAAATAGAAAGAAACAAGCCTTGCCTGCTGGCAATTGAGTGACGGTGAAGGTAAATGTGTATAAAAAGGATAGTTAAATGCAATTATACATTCGGTCATTAAAAATAAGCGGTTATGTAATTAAAAGAAATGTTTGAGTGGAGCGATATCGCTTGGTGTTTTATTATTGCCGCTCGTGGGTAACCGAAAGTGTCTGTTTAACATGCGCACGCAGACAAATTCTTAGTCAAGATCGCGTTTGTGATAAGTGAAGCGAAATCGGAATAATTTTTTGAGTGTCGATCTCGTGTCATTTGTTTTGTAATTTAAATAGCACTTTGTAGATGCTGTTATTGCGTAATAACATCACAAACACTACCGATACGTCGTTTGTGACCTACTTTTTTTTGTGAAAGTGTTCCGAAAACGTAACATTGACGAAAACACCCCGGGATTCGACAAGGGGAAGCCACGAAAATGATAACACGATTATTAACAAACCAAGTCGACAACGATCGTCGATTTTAAATCGATCGACGAACGATTGGTGCGAGAAAACCTGTTTTTGTAGGTTATGAAAACGGTTGCTGATTTGACACAGTGGTCATGTCTGAATGTAAAGTGTAAGCGAAGTGGCCTACAGACCTATATTTATACAACGTTCGATTTTTATACCGCGTAAAGAAATAGATATTTGTGGGACCTTGGTGTGTTTTTGAAGGTCAGAGCTTTGCAAAGCTCTGAGTCGGGCTAAAATCGGTTATCATCACGGGAGGCTTGTGTACAAGGATAAACAATGCACGAAGAGGCGACAAGTATGAGCGTACCTAGCTCTGTTGCCGCATCTACGAGCAGCAGTCAGAATAATCAAAACGGTACGACTTCGGTTGTTATTTTAAACGAAGAAGTCGAAATGGCGATAACGCAAGAAGAAAACGCAGATCCCCCAGTGCCTTTTACATCGAATTCGACAGGTAAAAATCGTACATGTTTTACATCAAATTTTGCAGGTTATAAAGTGCAAGAGACCTGTCTCCAAGTGTTCTGCTCGCTGCAAACCTGTTTTCTACGTAAACCATTGTTCTTTGGCTGCTTTGGCAACAGTAATCGACTTTTAACAAGATTCACTTTCTTTTATTCTGCAATAGTTCTTTGCTTGTTTGTGTGTGAAAGTGAATTTGAAAGAGAAATAACTAGCGAAACCGTTTCTGTGTTATGTAGGTATTACATCGCTTGTCTCGCATACGTCCGGCGCTATCTGCGAGCAAATTGATGTTAGTGGGACAAATTAGCATTTTACTGGGCCTTCGTTGTTGTGTCTTCAGTTTGGTTACGCCCGATTGTCATTTCAATTTTTTTCCACTTGTGTATTCTTTCTTCTGACAGCACGAATCGTTTTCCGGGGGTCTGTTTTGACGATAAGTTAAGGAAATCAACTGACAAGGTCGTCTAGTTCCTCCTTGACCCATAAAGGCAGTATGTACTATTTCTAGCTTTTCTAGGGTACCCCTAGACTAGACAGCTTGTGCTATTATAGGTCAGGTTCAAGTGCAGGTGCAAGCGGTTCTCTGCTTCTATGTATTGAACGTAGCGTGCGCCTGCGCCATTCGAAACAAACGGCGATGTTGCATTTCAAACAAATAAATTGGCGCTTGTTTTCATTCTTGTCACTTTAGACCTTCCGATTGTCGTTTTTTTTTTCAACAATCGCTCGACATTTGCCGGTGTTGCAAGACTTAAAACAAAAAACCCCATTGTTACGATAGGTTTTGAGGCTAAGTTCTTTGTTGTAAAGCCTAATCGTTCGCATACGAGGTATTGCGACAAAATGTGCGCTATTATAATAATTGATAATAACAAATTGTAAATAATTTATATGAACAGAATAATATGCACATTTTTAAACTTAAACAGATCTAATTTATTTTTTTGACTATTTTTTTTGTCTGTCTCCTAGCAAAAATGTTAAAAGTGTTAATGAATGCACATTTATTATTGAATTTCAAAGTAACACGTACCTATTTTTAATAAATTAGCATTTTCGTTGGTTTAGTGTTAATTTGATTGGTTTTGGTCGTTACAAACATACGCTTTAAACAATGTTAATTGAGTGGCTTAGCAACGATTACGTATACGACAAATATCGAACATTGTCACAACATTAACATTAAAGAATGGGTGGGAAATGTTAAGCTATTTTTAAATTGCTGAAATAGTTTGTAAACAACTAAAATAACAAGCATAGATATTGCAATATATGAGAAACTGAGCACCTATCTATTTGTGCACTTAAAAAGAAAATTTCCTGAAAAAAACCGTGGAAATGTTTAATTAACATTGCAAAATTGAGTATTTATAAGTCTGCGAAATATTTATTTTTGAAAATGAGTTAACAATTCCATCTTTATTTTTGGTAAAGAAGCAGAGCGAGCGTCTATTGTTTCTGTAATTATTCTTGTTCCAAAGCAATTATAACAAAACTGTGACACATACAACATTTTCGGCTTAAAAACGATCTTCTTTTATTTCTCTTGTCAGCAACATTAACACATTTCGTGTGTCTTGCGATTCTTCTTTTGTTTCTTTGCCAGGATTTAGGACGACGCTCATTTTTTTCTTTTTCGTACTTAAATTTACTCCGACTGATACAGGGGATGATCAGAAAGTGCAAAAGTAAACTTTCAGTTCAATATTTTTTAAGAACAATATTTTCTTAAAAAAAAAAAAGGGCAGGGATTTAATGAATTAAAAAAGTTAATTTTAGTTAAACTGGGAGTGGTAATTATAAAGTCGACTTCAAATTAGTAAATAATAATTACCTACCAAATCTGAAAGTGCACGTTGTTGGTCTTTTCGAAGAAAATTTAATTTCAATTAAATTCACATTAAGTTAAAACATTTGAACGTACATTTGAAGAAAGTTGTTGTAAAGTTACACTTATATTTATATATATATTACTTAGGGTCTCTTAGAAAAATATGGACAAACTATGGGACTTCTCTATACCATTTCTATTTGAGATACGTTATGTATAGTGCCTGTTGACGGTTCCCATTGAAGAGACTGCGTTTTCCGCGAACTTGACTTACGACAAAATTAGCGACAAATTCCAGACCTTACAGTATTTGTCCACCCCATTTCTGGATTCGAGAAACTCTATGTTTGCTGCCAGAATTTTGTCTATTTTCCAGTTACCGTCTGGAGCGACAAATTCATGAATGTGGAAAAAAATTAGTGACAAATGATGGTGCATTTTGTCGTAAGTCTATGCCTCGAGTTGTTCAGCAACAAACTGTTGAAAAGCTGTCAAGCTGGTACTACACATACTTGAAATAGAAATGTATTAGAAAAATACCGATAAATTAATGACAAATTAAAGTCCTTGCAGGATTTCTCTATACCATTTCTATTTTGAGATAAAGGTACCGCGACAAATTCTAGACATTACGCTATTTATCTACGCCACTTCTATTTGGAGACGCGCTATGCGTAGCGCCAGTATTTCGTCTATTTTCTAGTAGCTGGTTGGAGCGACAATTTTTTGGATTTGGCGGCAAATTAGCGACAAATTACGGTATACTTTAGAGATAGGATATATAACTGGCCTACTTGATATCTACAAATACACGTTACTTTTCTTCTGTTTCTAAATTCTTGTTTATTTATTTCTACTGTTTTATATTCATTTGTTTCTGTGCTTTATTTTCGTTTGTCTTTGTATTTTGACTTGATTTTGTCGGCACTATTTCATTGTTTGTTTTTACATTTATTGTTTACACGAGAATTTATATGGATTTGTAAGTTTTCCGTTTGGAAGTCAGCGATCTTTTTCATTGCATTTTGCAAACCTCCGTAATAATATCACCTTGAATCCAAAAATAAACCGTTTTGCAGTCGCCGCGAGTGCATGCACAAAGAAATCCTGTATGACCACCGTAAGCCAATGCACTTTAGTTACGTGCAACCGCATAGCTCAATTGCACCAGCGTTTGATAAGGAAATGATAAATAATATAATAGATTTTTAAACATCCATTAAATAATTAAAATATACCTATACGCAAACAATATTATATTTCTTATTGTTTTCGAGATAATAACCTCTAGTTGTATTACATTTAATATTTTTGATTGACTTTCATATAATTTTCAATAAAGAAAACTGTGAATAATATGTGCATTTTGCTGGTATTTTCTTCTATTATTAGTTTTTTTAATATGAAGCTATTTGGTAATCCTAGTGCATTGCTCATGTACCCCCGTTTTATTGATAAATGTACGACAAATAAAACAAGGAAGACAACGGAAAATCACAACAAAAGAATACATACCATAAATATTTTTGTTTTGTTTTGTTATTGCTGCTCTTTTGTCGATGCACTACTGATTGTTTTGCTTATTCTCCTCTTTTTTTTTAACAAACGGACAATATCGTTTATCTATTGTTATTATACAGGGCATTTACATCGTTTTTCTTTTTATTTACTTTTTATTGTTATTAGAAACGTCTGTGCAATTTCTCAAAAGTTGATACTTTTGAGTTAATACAGGAAAAGATACTCAGAAATTACTGTAATATGTAAATTTACGCGAACATATACATTTTAATGAAATGTTAGAGAGAAAAACATTACGCATAATACAATTGTTTTGTCTGATTTTTATTAAACAAAAGTAAACTTGGTAACTTTTATCTAACATGTTATCAAATCAAGCACTCTAAAAAAGGGATTAAGTGTTGATTAAATATTTTAATATAATCTACATCTATGCCCTACTCAAAATTGTATATTGTCTATTTTTTTCCAAAAAAGCACTTTTCTTGCATTTTTATTATAATAATACTGCCCGCTTCTATTATGCTTTTATTATTGGTAAGTAATAAAGTTNGGATTATTATAATTATATTATGTTTAGTTACATAATTATTTCCTGGTCGTTGAATTGAATTATAAACAAGGATACTAAATTAATACACAACAGAGCAATGATTCGCACTTGTTTTTTTTATTTTAATGCCTACGCATATTCATAAATACCTAATAAAAAAAACATATTTAGAAAAGGAAAGTTTCTTGATACCTGTTAAGTTAATTTTCCAAAAACTTAATTTAAATCAGTTATTCAAAGTAGCGTCACAAGTTTTTCTTGTATTATTTTTGAAATTTCTTATTTGCATGAATTATTTTACATTCTTGGGTCTACAAGCTTCAGAGATGAAACTTGATGTTTTTTACGTATATATTTTTGTCCAGGAATCAAAAAGTTGTCGAGTAGGAAGGACCCTGATCTTATACGCTACTTATACCACTTAAGTGTGGTATTCCATGCTGAAATTTCGAATTTTGATTTTTGCCGTAATCTATAGTAAAGAATTATTTTGAGCATTTTTTTTAAAATTTTAGTTTTGGAAATAAGGGTGGACAGAACGGTAAATTTTCGTCTATTTTCTTATATAACTTTAAGTGTTTATTTTTTTTTTCAAAATTATAAAGAAAATATATTTCAGACCCTTACAATAAGTCAAATAAGCCAGGATGGAGGGACTAGTAGGGATATAAAGCATAGAGTAGCGCAGGGTCGAGTCGCCTTCAATAAAAAGAAGTCACTTCTATGTTTGCGAACGGTTAATTTAGAAATTCGAAAAAGATTGTTAAAGATGTGTTTGGAGCCCGGCGCTGTACGGGTGCGAAACATAGACGGTGGGCGCTGCCGAAAAGAAAAGGTTAGAAGCGTTCGAAATGTGGTGTTATAGGCGGATGATGAGGATATCGTGGATAGAGAAGGTTAGAAATGAAGAGGTACTGGAAAGAATAGGAGAACAGAGGACTGTATGGAAGTCAATAAGAAATAGACGAGATAGGACACCTTCTCAGGCATGAAGGTCTAGTCAGAGACATATTAGAAGCAGAAACGGAAGTTAGGAGGGGTAGAGGTAGACCTAGATTAGATTACTGTTCGTAAATAGTCAAGA